CGGCACCGCGCGCGCCACGCCCGCCCCGGCTCGGACTCGGCCCACCTCCTCCCCTATGGGGCGGGGGACAGGACTGCGCCCCCGGTGCCCTAAGCCGGGGCCCCCCCAATGCCTTGGCAGTGCCAGCCACGGGAACCAGGAGCAGGAGACGGCGCCAGGATGCCAGGCCCCGGCCGGCTCCGCTGGGTGCTCAAGCCCCCCACCCCGGCCTTCCGGGGACCCTCCTCGGCCACACGGAAGCACAAGAGCGCGCACTCCCTGCCGCGGCAGGCAGCTGGGGTGCAGGACTCTGAGACCACCGGGTTGGGTGGGCGGCCGGAGGGATCTGCTGTGAATTTGAGATTGACCTTCTGCGTAGACATTTTTGGTTTCTTTTGCAGTTTTTCTAAGGAATTGCACAACTCCCTTTTTGGGGTGGCGGCCGGAGGGGGTGGCTCTGGCCTTGGATGGGGAGTAGGGGGCGCAGCTGCAGACCCAAGTCCCTCTACCTCCTCCGAAAGGTCCCTCCCCCGGCCGGGCCCCTGGTGTGTGTGGGTGTGTGCGCGTGTGCATGCCGTGTTCGTGTGCAAGGGCCGGGGAGGGAGGCACGTGTGTGTGCGCAGGGCCACCCGTGCTGTGCGTGTGTCTTAAGAGTGAGTGTGGGGACCCCAGCGGCCCCGGGTCGGCTGAGCCAACGCCGGGGCTTCCGAGGTGCCGGCCGGGAGTTTGGGCCCCGCTTCTGCGAAGGGAGCAGGGTTGGCCGGGTCCAGGCGAGGAGACGCGAGAGCCTGTCCACGGGTCACATCGGCAACAGCTCCTAAAGGGCTTGGGGGTCTGGGGGCGGTGGAGACAGGCAGGGCCCCCTGTAAATACGGCCCCAGGGTGGTCAGAGAGTCCCATGCCACCCGACCCCTTGTGACCTCCCCCGACCTCCAGCTGACTGTGCATGCCACGTAGCCGGCTGAGTCTCGGACCCTCTGGAGTTCACCTCCCCCGGCCCCTCCCCATCAATAAAACTCTGTTTACAACCACCGGCCCCCACGGCTCTGGGCCTGCTCTGTCCTGGGGGTGGCCAGGTACAGTCGAGGGCAGCTTCAAGGTCCCTGGCAGTGGCAGGATACGTAACAGAAATCTGAGGTGCTGGGCTGAGCGCCGTGAGGGTCCCCACCCAGAGGCTTGGGAGGCGGAGGCAAGAGGGTTATAAATTCGAGGCCAGCCTGGGCAATTTAGCAGTAGCACGGTTGAAAATGCAATTAAAAAGATTGGGGATGTAACTCAGTGGTGAGCACTTGCTAGCATGTGTGAGGCCCTGGGTTCCATCCTCTCCACTGCAAAAGAAGAACTGTACTTGGCGGAGGCGTGTGGGAGGGTAGTTAAGGAGGCCTTCTGTGAGGAGGGGTCCTGTGAGCCCAGAGGGGCTGGCGGAGGAGCAGGAGGGGATCTATGGACAGTTATTCTTTATTCTGAGATAAGATCTCACGAAGTTATTCAGTTACTCAGCCTAATAAAGTGGTGATCCTCCTGCCTCAGCCTCCCAGGATCCTGAGCTGACTGTTGGGTGTCACAAGGACAAAATCACTGAATAGCATTAAGCATATTCACTTGGTTGTGCAACCATCACCAGTCTCCATCTCCAGAACACTCTCACCTGCCTAAGTGACAGCCTGACAGCCGCTCAACACAACCACCCCCACTTACAGGTTTTAAGTGGGGCAGGACGCCACAGGGATGGAGGAGCATCCCTGTTAGCTCTGGGAGGCTGAGACAGGAGGATTCTGGGAGGCCGAGACAGGAGGATTACAAATTGAAGCCCAGACTGAGCAAATTAGTGATTTTGCAAGACCCTGTTTCAAAATAAAAATTCTTGAGGGTGTAGCTCAGTGTGAAGGCCCTGGGTTCCCCAGTAACACACACACAGAGGGAGAGGACAGATACAGAATCCACGAATGCCTCAGCAGCTGCCCTGGAACCCATCCTGTGTGCTTGTTGGGTTTGTTCCTGCTTGCAGCTCTGTGGCTTCCCCTCTGCTGTGCACCCGCTGTCTCTGGTTGTGTCTAGGTATTTTTGCCTGTGTCTGTGTCATTGCTGTGTGTGTACATGTGTGCACTTATCTACCTGCCTTCCCCTATCTGCCCTGCTACTGGCAGCAGGAGTATTTGCCCTGAGCCTGGGTTGTTCCCTTTAGAGCCCTTACTCCTCTCAAACTTGAATATCGACAAACTGCTTCAGAGATTGGGCCAGAAGGAGGGGTCATGGCCAAGCATGACAGAAATCCTGGGTGTAAACTGGGCATGGTGGTGCAAACCTGTAGTCCAGCACTCAAGGGGCCAAGGCAGGAGGATTTCCGTGAGTTCAAGGTAAGCCTGAACTAATAGCAAGACGCTGGCTCAAAAACCCAAAATCAATCAATCAATCAATCAACCCTGGGTATAGGTAGTAAAACACACCATACTTGAATATTTAGAACTCAGCGAGGATC